CCCCCCCCCCCCCCCCGGCTGTGTTCGAGCCATGAGACCTCGAGGCCCCCTTCCAGGTGGGCCCTGGGCAGTGCCCTGCACTGGAGACTTTAACCCAGGACTGACATTCTGGGTTAAAGGACCGACGTTCCCAGCCAGCGTGCTTCCCGTGACTCTCCTTTTAATATTCCGCCTTCTCGGGATGCCCTGCGTCGGCCACCTTCGACCGGGGGCCGCCTTCCAGAAGGGTGGGGCCTGCATTTCCGATTGTTGGCCAGGCTGGCTGAGGGGTGCTGGGAGTCGAAGTCCAGACCCCCGGAGGGACAAGCCGGGGGGGCTGTGGCGACGCCTTGTGAGCGGCAAGGGGGTGTTCCTTTTTTTTAAAGCATGCTTTTGAATCGAAGCTTGCTCTGGCTCCGGGGCTGGCAGGCGCGAGCGTTTGCTGAGGCACCCCCCACCCCCAGGCCTGGAAAGGGGTTCGCCGCAGCGCAGGCCTCGCTGCCCGAGCCAAGCAGTTGCTCCGGGCAGTCATGGTCTGGGGACTCACGGGGCCTCGGGCGGCCGAAACGCTGCCCCACGGGTCAAGGCTGCCCCCTAGGGCGGGCGGGCGCAGGAGCGGCCTCGAGGCGCCCGGCACAGGCAGACCCTGGCCTCGCCCTTGCCTTGGCACGCGCGGGCTTTGTGCGGCAGGGGAGCTGCAGGGCAGGGCGGCAGGCGGTGCCACCAGAGGCGCCCGGCGGAGGGAGAGCGGGGCTTGGCCGGCGGCTGCGGCGCAACCCGCTTCCCGGGCCCTCCGCTTACAGAAAGGCAGGAGAGCGGAGACGACCTCAGGGAGCTGAGAAACGCCTTCCGTCCACCCCACGGCCCAGGGGCCGGTCCCTCTCGCAAGCGGCGGCCGTGGGCATGGAGGAGGGCCTTGGGCGGAGGCCGCCTGTGGGTTGCCTGTTGCCGGGCAGCACGCGCCCTCGGGCTCCGACCAGAGGTGCCCCGGGCACGCAGGAAGCGCGTGTGGCCGCCAGCCTCGCTGCTCGTCCCTGGGCCTGCGGCAGAGGGGCCGCCTTGCCACGGGGACGGCAGGAGCCCTCGTGCCAGAGCCGCAGATGCAGGGCTTGCCACAGAGCTGCAGTGCCAGATAAGGCGCCGCCTGGTCTCTGTTTGGCGCACGGAAGCCACACGCGGAAGAGACCGAGCCTGGCTGGAGCGGCCGTCCCCGTTTCCAGCTCTCCCAGAGTTCTTAATATGCCGCCCAGAGGGCAATAAACTCTCAGGAACAGCCTGTATCATTTAGCGAGTGCCACATGGCACTGGCTCTCGCTGGGAGATACTCCTGGGCTTGCTATGGAGCTAGTCCTCATTGGGCTTGAACATTTTTTTCTTCCGAAGCTTCACTTCCACAGGAATCGAGGGCAAATAGGAACAGAGATGAGTCCTGAGCGGCCCCTTTGCACAGGGAAGGGCAATAGCAACTCTGAGCCACCAGTCTTGGGCTGGGCACCGTCCCTGTTTCCTGTGTGAAGCAGTCTGGGGGCCCGTAGCCACACCCCATCATCGGGGCTGGCCCCCGCGTCCCTCCCACAAGAGGAAGCTGCATCATGTACGTTCTTGAAGCTACCGCAACCCTTCCGATGTTGCTTCTTCCTCTCACGCTCCCCGGCGGTGGGCCTCCCGTTCCGTGTGGCAGCAGGTAGGACAGTGGGGGATGTGTGCGAATCCTGGGGTGTGTGGGGGACAGACGGAGGCACAGCCCCCTCCTCTTTTTTCCGTTTAAGACGCCACGGCGCAAACGGGGGACCAGGAGGCAGTCCCGAGCAGGGCCTCGCGGAGCTTGTGCGAACGGCAGCCGCCCCTCATCCTGTTTGGCTCTTCTGAGCTTGGGTATTTAGCTCTTGGGACGAAATTGGGGGTCGTGGGGGATGCCGAGGCCTGTCCCCACTTGCCAGCTCCCTGACTTCTCTGCGTTAGTCTTTAGTGCGTGTGATTTGCCATTTACAGACACCTTCCCCCTTCGCACTTAAACTAGCTGGACCCGTAGAAGAAAATTGGGGAGGGGGCCGTGTTTCCGGAGGCCTTTGCCACGGTACTTCTGGCTTTCGGGTGGCTGGTCAGGGCACAGGGTTTGGGTGGGGTGGGGGCAGCATACAAACACCCTGCTCAGGCCACCCCGAGCGCCCCTTTTCTTGCTAGAAAAACGGGCCACCCGTTGAACCAAGTCCTGTCTTTCTGGGGCAGGTCCCTCGGTGGCTCCTGGGCTCCCCAGAGTTTTGAGGGCCGTGGGAAATGTGCTAGGTGACCTCTGCAGGGTTGCGCTTTTAGGCAACTTTCAATTTCGGCACTTCTCCTGTTAAGTGCAAAACCCTGCAAAGTTCAAGGCGATTCATGCAAGGGGCTCTTCGACCTGCTTCAAGGTTTGGGTCCAAGTCACGAATCTGCACGTCCCTAGTTATAGCTAGATAGGCAAATCCGAAAGGAGTGGTGGGCTTCACGTAATTCCACAGGAGAGCGAGCCCCCAGCTCGTTTCTGGGCCTCATCATAATTCTTCGGTCGTTTTGCACTCCAGCACAAATCTTCCCAAAGCAGTGGAAAATATCAGTCATCGTCAGGCCAGTGAAGATGGCGGGGTGGGGGGGAGGTTCAGAAAGTGTGGTGGAGTACGGGGGGTGGGGGGGCGGGTTAACCTTCTCTCCCTGTCTGCAGTCCCTCTCAGAAATTCCTCCGTGCAGCAACGGAGGTGAGGGAAGGGGGTCTCTCGCTGCATCCCGAAATCTGTTTCCCACCGTGGCCAGTGAAGAAGCAGGACGTGAGCGGAGAAGCCCGTTCCCAGGGGTCTGCAAAGCCCCCTGGACAAATTCTTTGCAAAAGATACATGAAGATGCCCCTGGGCTATTGCTTCAGCCTCTCCTTAGCCAGAGTGGGCGTCCCTATCCAGACGCCCTCCGGATGTGTTGGACTACAACTCCCAGCATTCCCAGCCAGCGCACCTGGGAGCTGCGATCCGGTGCATCTGGAGGGCACCGAGCTAGGGAGGATTTTAGGGGAGCAGCCTGTACGAGCTCTGCACGGAGCCTGGACCGCAACTGTGCTGCTGCCTTCGTGTTTCCCCCGTTTTCAGTTTCATACCCGAAGGTACCCAAAGCGCTCACTTGCCGAGACGATTCTGCCCGCCTGCCCTGATCTCCCTTGAGGAAGGGTTACGATGCCTGGGATTGCTCTGCTTGGAGTGAGGGGAGATGGGTCACGGGAGCGTGCAGAATTCCGCCTGGCATGTCAGCCTGGAGAGGGAGGCATTTTCCGCCTGTAATCCTGGAACCCAACCTGGGCCACTCCGCGGGGCTGATGGGGGCAGACTCGGCAGAAGGGAAGGGGGGGGCGTTCCCGCAGCACAGAATTTAACGTGAGCATCCTTTCCCCTGGATGTTGGGGGGCGTTAGGAGGGGCTGGCCAAGCTCACGGAGGAGGAGGCTATCGGTGGCTCCTGGCCCCGCCGGCTCCGCACTCCCGTGTCATCAGAGGCAGTGCCCGGATGCACCGCTTGCTGGGGCTTGCTGGGTGGGAGGGGGCTGTTGCTCCTGGGGGTTTTCCATGAGGGCAGCTCGAAGGCCCCCGTGGACAGAAGGCTGGACGAGGCGGAACCCCCTCCCCGAACAGGTCCCTGGTGTGCGAGCCCTTTCTTCATGGGCCATCCAGGCCCGACAGCCGCTCCTCACCGCTACCTCGGTTGAAGCTCCTAGAAGAGAGTCTGCTCACAGCCATCGTGGGCTCCTCCTCCTCTTCCCATTTTCATCATCAGTCTAAGAATGTAGGCTCCTTGTGGGCAGGGACCCAGCTTTGGCCCTCCTCAGTTTTCATACTTAACCTTGCGGCAGCCGTTTGAGAGAAAGTGGCGGGGGGGGGGGGGGCGACCCGGGCAAGCGATGACGGTGTCCACGGCTTCGCTTTCCACCCTCTTCAGGTGAACATGGCAGTGCTCCGGCTTGCCCTGTTGACGGCCCTCTGGAGCGTCCGCCTGGCCGGCAGTCTCGCCCTCCGCTCACAAAGGCTTCCGGGCCAGGACGGCACCAGCGGGGGGGAGCCGGGTGCACACCCCCTCCCTGCCAAAACGGACTCTTGGCTCGTCGTCCCACCCAGGTGGGAGTGGCTGGCCCCAGGAGGGAGCAGTCACGGTGCCCCGCAGGCGCCCCGCAGGAAGAGGCAGGCCAGGACGGCGCTTCCTGCAGCTCCCACGGGAACGGTTTCCAGTGGCAAAACTGCCGGACCTTTCTCTAATGCCGCCACAGCTTCAACCACCCCTCTGAGGACGATATCCCAAGATGTCGCCAACAAAACCGATGCCCGCTTAAGTACCTCAAAGAGCGCAAAGCTGCCCCCCGGCCCCACCCCAACTTCTCCTCTCCTCTCCAAAAAAGGGGGCACCAAAGACAACCTCGCTTCTGGGCTGGTCGTGGAAGAAACCACCGCTGTGCCTGCAGAAACAAGGGACGTTCCTTCCACCCCTTGGCCGTGGCCAGATGAATTTTCTACTACGTCTGTTCCACTTCTGGACGACCCCAGCACTTCCACAGCAGACCTGAGCCGTGGCTTTGCTGGAGCGAAGAGAACACCTGGTTCCCCTCACACGGCAGCTGCAGCTTCCTCCTCCTCCTCCTCCCCCCCCTCCTCCTCCTCTCACACGGCAGCTGCAGCTTCCTCCTCCACCACCACGACCACCACAGAAGAGCCCTGGCTGGAAGATCTTTCCACCTCATCCTCTATGACTCTGGACGACTCCAGCACTTCCACAGCACACCAGAGCCATGGCGAAGACACGGATAGGTCCGTTCTTGGGAGAAAGGGGAACCAGGGGGTTGCTGTCCCGACGGCCGCGGCTCGGAGCACCCCTGCCTGGGTGCCTCCCCCTGGAGCGAGCCCCCCAGGCCGCTCCCTGGTTGGGCAGTGCTTGCTGGCCATCCTGCTGCTGGCCCTGGTGGCCGCCATCTTCATCGTGGCCTCGGCCGTCCTGGCCACGCTGCTCTGGCGCCAGAAGCAAGCCTACCGAATGAACCAGCGCGGCCACACCGAGATGGTCTGCATTTCTTCCCTGCTGGCCGCGGAGGAGGCGGAGGAGGCCGCCCGGAGGGGCCCCCAGGTGAAGCACGTGAGGATGCTGGGCGAGCCCGGGTCGGAGGTGGAGATGGACAACCTGACGCTGAACAGCTTCCTGCCGGATCACTGAGGCGCCCCCTGCCCCGGCAGCTCGGCCTCTCGCTGGCCCGCTGGGAGCCCGGCACCTGCCTCCTTCCGATCACCCGCGGGTTGCACACGCCCCGTTCCAGACTCCTGCTTGAAAAGTGCACCCGTCACGCTGGGACGGTGCCCGGCCGCACCGGGGAGGGCGCCATCCTGTCGCAACACAGGCCTGTTGGGCAACTCCCTCCCCCTCATCTGGCCCGGCTGGCTCGCCCATCGGGAGACACACTGCTGTAACCCGCCCGCAGGGCCTGGGCTGTGGGGCCTTACAATAAACGGAAGTAGTCAAGCCTCTGGGTCCCCCGTTGCTGTCGGCCACACGCCTCGAACGCAGGCAGCCCCCTGGCTCCCGAGGGCGGCGTTTCAGGCTTCCTTTTTTGGGAAGGGGGCGTGCCCGCCGACCTTCCCGTGCTGCGGGGACGTAGCTGCTCTGAGTCAGGTCAAAGGCACAGGTCTTGGGCCCTTCCTTCCGTAGCAGATGGGCTGGGGGAGAAACAAGACAGACGGCGGGGAGCTGTGGGAGGCGGGCACACCGGAGAGCCTGCGGGACCCGCCTGCAGGACCGGCCCCACGTGGCGGGGGGCCGGGGAACAGCTCCAGCAGCGAGGATCTGGAAGTGGGATGCAGGAGCCAAGGCGGGCGCGCAGCCACCTCGCACACCGTTATTCCTGGAGGGGCAAACTGGGGAGGGGGTCTCACTGGGGCTCAGGCACAGCGTTTGTGCAGGTTTGGTTCTGGCACTGCTTCGGTTTCATCTCGCATCCTCCCGACGTCTACTTGCCATCTGACTATGAAACTCTGCGTGCCAGACAACCGAGCCTTTCAGCAGTGCCAGATTCTGAAAATCCATACGTGTTTATTAAATATATATCCTGCCTTTTTTAAAGAACTCAAAGAGGCCTCCCTCCTCCTCCTCCTGCTGCTCTCAGTCTTCTCCCCACAACAACAATCCTGTGAGGTAGGCTGGGCTGAGAGTCCGTGGCTGGCCCAAGGTCACCTGGTTGGCTTCATGGCTGAGCGGGGACTCGAACCCGGATCGCCCGAGTCCCAGTCCCCGCGCCCTTCGCCACAGCGCCACACCGGCTCTCTCACACGGCTGCGGCAGTACGCAGCTGGGACCGGGGGACCCTTCGGTGCTCAGGGGAAAGGAGTCACTTCATGCAATCGGCAAATCGGATTGTGCACCGAGAGGCTTTTGGGATGAAGGGTGCCTGCGTCTTACTCTGTTCTCCATGTTGCTGTTGCCCACAAATCAGCCCTTTTCTGCTTCTGAAATTTCTGTTCGAAATCTGACGGGTCAGCATGCCAAAGCGGAAAATGGTCGGCTTACTTTTCTCAAGGCAACAGCGAAATCAGGACCAGCCCTCCCATAAAGCGGAGAGAGGACACTGTTTCGGGTAGCGGATGCTGAGCGGCCACCTGGAATCCATGCGAGGCTGTTCCATTGGACTCTCCCCTTCTGCCTGTCTTTCTCTCCTCGTGTTTTCCTTTTGGGTGTTTGTCAGGATGCCTGGACTGTTGTCCTTGTCGGGGGAAAGCTCTGCATTTGGGATAGCTTGGGAGGAGGAGAGGGTTCCTCAAAGCAGTGCATATTTAAGATGATTAAATATCTTTATTTTATTTTATTTTTTATTACAAGCATTTATATCCTGTCCTTCTGCCAAGTGCTCAGGACGGCTTCCATCTCGTGGAGTGAAGAAGTGGTCGCACAGTCCTCTGACCACTGCTGGGAACAGGAGGCCAGTCCGGGCCGAGCACCGGCAGGTCCAGGTGAAGCAGCTCACTTGAGCCCAGGCCGGGCAGCGTGCTGCTTGCGGGCAGCCTGGCTTAGGCTCACATCTGCATTTGGGACTTTCTGTTCTCTGTTGGTTCCCTTGGAGCAGAACTGGAAGGGGAACAAAGAGGTGAGCAAAGCAGACGCCCCCGCTGCAGAGAAACCGGGGGCAGAAACGAAATCAGTTCCTCTGTGGCAGAAGCTGCTGCAGGGTCTCAATTTCCCTTTTCCCAAGGAAGGGGCTTTCTACCAGTTTGTCCAGCTCCGTGTTGCCTGCGCCAGCCCGGCCCCCTTCCGGTTCTCCAGGCTCTGGGCAGAGGCAGGCTTTTCCCACCCCTGGCCCTTTCTTGTCATTGTACGCGGCACCCGGGGCCCTTCGGCACGCAGAGCCGGGTTACCTGTCCCTCCCCGCTCGGCGTTCTTGGCCCTCGCTCGCTCACCTCTCCTCCTCCATTTTTTATCTCGCTTCTCTTTTCCTTCCCGGGCAGTTTTGGGCCTGTCACATGTTCTCTCCGCGAGCAGCAGAGCCCTTTGGATGTTCCCTCCTCGAACCTCCTCCATGGGGCACCTCCCGACGGGGCCCGATGCGTAGCCGAGGCCGCTTCTGGAGGCAACCATTCCCCCCCCCCCCGTTTGCGCTTCTTTCCACCTGCCCAACAAGTGCAGTGCGCTAAAAGCAGACGGGGCGAACGTGGGAACAAGCGACTGAGGAGAGCAAGGGTGGAGAGAAAAGGCAAGGTGAAACGGGCACCGATGATAGAGCCGAGCCGCTCTGCCATCGGGAAGCCAAAGCGGGCGGCGGCAGAGCAGCGCCCTGCAAGCGCTCGGCCGGTTCTGGAAAGGCGAGAGCTGGGAGGGAGCCTGAGCCGAGCGCTGCCGGATCGGACCGGACTGGACCGGACCGGTTCCTGCTGGGGCCGGCAGACGCCTCGGGGAAACTCGCAAGCCAGGCCACAGGCGATGCCTCTCGCCCACGTGTGTGTCCGGGGCCCACGTCCACGGTTGGCGTGGCTGGCCGTGCCCACGCACACGGCAGGACCCCGGCCCTGCTCCCCCTCTCCCCGTGCAGCCAGGTGGGGAGCAGGGGGGGCCAGGCTGCCCCGCCCCCAGCAAGTGGGAGCCATGAAGGCCGGAGGGCCAGAGAGGCTGCTGGCCATGGCGGAGAAGGGCTGGCTTCCACTTGGGAGGGAGGGAGGGGGGCCCATTCCTGCCCCCCCAGTCTCCGGGCGCCTCCCCACAGGACCCCGAGAAGCCTGCAGCCGCGCTGGGTGCCACCCCAGCCTTAAAGCGGCACTCCAGTGTCTCGGCGAGGAAGAGGAAGATGGCCTAGGTGCATGCGTATCTAGAGACGCTGGCTGGGGCAGGGCGTGTTGCAGCACAGCTGTCGGCTCAAGTGTGCAGCACAACTAGACATCGCCACCACAACACAGGAAACGCACGGTGCCACCCGCAGCCTCCGAGGCTCACTGGCCTGCCCATCTCCCAGTGTGCTTGTACCCCAGAGCCCTCCAGAACCTGGAGCCGGCACTGGTTCTCCTGTGCTGGTCATTGCTATTCCTCCGTGGTAGACTTCCACTAAAGCTGGAGGTTTTGCTTAGCTATCATGCCGCAGGGGCTCTTCCTCCAGGAGAAAGGAGAGGAGAGACTGGAAACGGGTGTTCACAAGAGCTTTTGCAAGCCGTTCTGGCCAGCAGAGCCGCTCTCCTGAGCCGTCTGGGAGCAGCGCAGCTTCCCTGGCAGGTGCAAGTCGGTTTTCGACGTCAGCCTTTCCTTTCCTGCTCGTGATCTTGGCTGCCCAGGAAGGCCCCTCCCTTCATTTGGCAGCTTTGCAAAGAAATGAACTGAGTCAGAGTCCTGTATCTGATAAGAAACTCAAAAGGAAGTAAAAAGCCATGAGGGGGGACGCCTTCTGGGCCTGTGGTCAACCAGCTGGGCCCTGATTCGGCCTCTGCCACAGCCGCGCTGCTCTGCACCGCTGCTTGCTGCTCGGAAGGCAACGCGGCCGCTCTGACGTGCGTGCGAGCGCTGCCGCTTCCGAGCCGAGGAAATTCTGCAATGGCCATGATTCATAATGGCACTTGCGACACCGGTGCTTGCGTTTTGGGGTTTCTGCTTTGCTTAGTCTGGATTCCGTGCAGTGATGGGCGAGGGTGTCAACAGACGGAAACAACTTGCTTGGAGGGCTGAGCCAAGGGCTGAGGTTGCCCAACGAGGAGGACGCACCGGTGGTGGGAAAATGTTTGTCTTCTAGAGTCAACAGCATCCATCCTGCTCTTTAGCTGAAGCGATAAACCAGCCTTCTAGGGAGACTGTTAGTGAACTGCCAGAGAAAGGCAGCTTTTTGCATTAAAATTGTCTACGAGAGGCAAGCTTTGGAAGAGTTGCCATCCTTTAAACGGAGGCAGTGGAAGGTGGTGCCCAGGAGACTCGCAGGACTCGCTGTGCCGAGTGGATTTGTGGCAATTTGGCACTTCCTTTGGACGGATCCTTGTCTTTTGGCTGGACTCGGGACGAATAGCCCTTGAAAGAGAAGAGCCGGTCAGGCCGGCCTGGGTAGAAGGAAAGGCCTGGCTGTCCTGCGGCCTTCCCAGTGTGCTGCCCCCCCCCCCCAGTGTGTGGGTCTGCCCCAGAGGAAGAGGAAGAGGCCAGTGCTGCTTGGTTGACACGGAGCACCCCTGGCCTCCCTCTTCAGACTCTTCGCGGAGGCGCTTGTGGGAACCGCCGCGGGGGGGGGGGCACCTGTGCGGCCACGAGTGCTTGGCTCAGCAGGAGGATGGCGGTGCCGTTCCCCGTGTGGCCCGACCAGGTTTGGGAAGAGGCTGAAGCCGGGGGGCGGGCTGGGGGGGCGGGCTTCGCTGGCAAGAGGGCGGCTTGTCGCAACCAACGTCGCACCACTCCCCCCCCCCG